ATATATATTTATTATAATTAATATCTATATAATAATAATTTTTCAAAATAATAAAATTCAAAAAAAAAAATCACATATGCAGCCTATAAATAACAAACCCTAAACCAAACATATATCAAACTTACAACCAACAACTGTTTCCTTCTCTGCACTCTTAGGCAACGGTGAGTATAAACAATTTTAAAGTTTAGTTCTTTTTATTTTTTATTAGTGATTTTATAATCATAGTCTTTATTTGTTATATAAATAATTTTTTACCTTCAAACTTCAAATTTAATATAATAAGAATCGTAAATTGAAAAACATAAATATTACAATATTAAAATAGATACAATATCATTGGTCATTATAACTTTCTAACAAATCGAAACAAAGGATTAAAAGGACTATGAGCTAAAAAACTTACACATTCTTTTCGAAGGACCTTCATTCTGTTGTTTGATTTATTTTTATTATTTATTATTTATTATTAATTATTTAATTAAGTTTAGTATTTTAATAGTATGTAAATTTAAGATTATAAAAAATAATATTTTATTAAATTTTAATTTGAAAGAAAACTTAAAAATAAAATATTATTCAACAAGTACATAAATATATAAATTATCTTGTACCTGTTAAAATATCAAATATAAATTTTCAAATATTTAGATAAATATTAAATCTAAAATACTATACTAAAATATTTTTATATTAAATATAAATAGAATTAATACCCAACATACACTTGAAAACGCTCACTCATAGTTTTAACCCTAGTCCAACCACAGCAACGTTAACCATGGTTAACTAAAATGGTCATCTAACGGCGTATGGCCCGCACCCCCTCCCTCCTCGCGAGGTATATGCCAATTGCGAAAGCCCAACTACGCGGCGTTATATTCTCAACCCCTCTTTCTCCCTCCAACTCCTTCGCCGTCCTTTTATTTTCTTGTACTCCCTGCCGCCGAGATTCTCAGGCGAATCGAGATAACTTTGGTCGGGAACTGAGGAGATCGGTGGAGAGATTTTGAATTTATTTTCCGTTTTTGAATTGGTTAATTCGTTCATTTCGTCGTGGGGGAGGAGAAATTTTGGTTGATTTGATGGTAATGTGGGGAGAAATTTGTTTCTTTCTTTTGGGCTTATTTTCGATGAAGGAATCTGCGTTTTGTAGGTGAAGATTGTGGTGAGGCGAGGCGTGGTGGAATGTTTTGGATCTCTTGATTTCGATTTGGTTTTGCTTTTTGAGTTATTTTGGATCTCGAAGATTTGTAAGGTAGGAGTAGGAAATAAGGAGAAGTCGATTTTTCAGGTTCTGATGGGATCCGTAATTTTCATTTTTGGTGTTGTTTAATTTCATGAATTCAATCGCCTTGCCGGCATTGATCGGAATTTGGAAAAACGCGGCAGTTGTCTTTCGGATGAGTAGAGTTGATATAGATGTGCGTTACTGAGATGAAGGAGAGGAGGAATATTGGAATTGGGGTGTTGAAGGGCGGAGGAGGAGGGGAGAGAGTGGAGAAGCTGAAGAGCTCGCGGACGAAGCTGTGGATGATACGCGCCACCACAATGGTCTTGCTCTGGACTTGCGTCGTGCAAATGACGGCATTGGGAGAGACGTGGGGTCCGCGCGTCCTCAAGGGCTGGCCTGCCTGTTTCTCTCACCCTGATTCTTCCGCCTCCGCCGTCGAGGAGAAGGTCCCCGCGGTTCCATCTAGGATCCTTCCTCCCAAGAGTGAGTTTTCTTTTTCTTTCCCTTTTTTTTATTTGTGATTTTAATTGTTTTTCAGGTTGAAAAGCATTATATTTTGAGTTATTTGGGAATGTTTTGTTGTGCATTTGTAATTTTTTTTTTCCCCTATTTTCGAGTGAAGGCTGTTTTAGTATCACTTGTTATGCTGGAAATACCGCACTCTTTGATTAGTTTTACTCTTTTTAATTCTCATTTGAGGAGGAGAAAGCGATGGAAATATGCTGTGATTCTTATTTGTTTAGGGTATTTCCTGTTAGCTGTCTTTGCTGATTTTTAAAGTGGATGGTCATCACTGGCTTACTTATTGCTAATGAATTTAGCATTTTAAGTGATGTCTTTCTTGTTTCTGTCAGGGGTTTATAAGAACAATGGTTATTTGATGGTTTCCTGTAATGGAGGTTTGAATCAAATGCGAGCAGCGGTGAGTGGTCAGCAAATGACTCTAAGATTCTCTGTTAACGTCATTCTTTATTCAGTGGGTTATTACCATTTAAATGCATCTGGTAAAATATAATGTTTCTTTTCTTTTTAATCAGATTTGTGACATGGTTACAATTGCAAGATATCTAAATGTCACCCTTATAGTCCCTGAGCTAGATAAAACTTCATTTTGGGCTGATCCGAGGTCTGTTAATTTTTTTCTCGTTATTGACTGATTGATATCTTTATGTTTCCAAAGATATTTCTTTGAACTTGGAACCATACATTGAGTATTTCCTTTTAAATTGGTATTTCAGTGAGTTCCAAGATATATTTGATGTGGATCATTTCATTACATCTTTGAGAGATGAGGTTCGGATATTGAAGGAGTTGCCTCCTAGGCTTAAGCAGAGAGTGGAAATGGGGAGGTTGTACAGCATGCCGCCAATTAGTTGGTCTGATATATCTTACTATCATAACCAGGTCAGTTCTTAATCTTTGTTAGGTCTTACATGCTGCACATACACATTGAACTACAGAAGCAGCCTTCAATATGTTCAAACTGATGATCCATGCTCTCTAGGAATTTTCTTTAGCTTTTCATGTTTTCATTATTATTTTTATTATTGTTTTATGCCTCTTCAGTTCTCTTCATTTAGATTCCTCTTAAAATAATAAGTTTTTTACACTGTTACCTGCAGATTCTTCCTCTAATAAAGAAGTATAAGGTTGTACATTTAAATAGGACAGATGCACGACTTGCCAACAATGGCCAACCTTCAGAGATTCAGAAGCTGCGATGTCGTGTGAATTTTAGTGGTTTGAGATTCACTTCTCAGATAGAGGACTTGGGTAGACGAGTAATTAAGCTTCTGAGGGGAAATGGTCCTTTTATAGTGCTTCATCTCAGATATGAAATGGACATGTTAGCATTTTCTGGTTGTACTCAAGGTTGTAACAATGAGGAGGTGGATGAATTGACAAGAATGAGGTGAGCAATACACAAATCTTTAACAACTAATTCTAACCAGCAGGTGCAATTTATTAGCATTGTTCTCACTTTCATTTTTGTTTGTTTTGACAGATATGCTTATCCATGGTGGAAAGAAAAAATAATAAATTCTGACTTAAAAAGGAAGGATGGTTTGTGCCCTTTGACCCCTGAGGAAACAGCACTTACATTGAGGGCCCTGGACATTGATCCTAATTACCAGATATACATTGCAGCTGGGGAAATATACGGTGGGGATAGGAGAATGGCAAGTCTTGCCAAAGCTTACCCAAAACTAGTGAGTAGATAAAGACTGAGTCAACTTAATTTTCCCCTGGGTGTTTTCCCTATATGTGTAATTTTTTCTTAAAAAAATAAAAAATAAAAAATCTGCACTTTAATTGTTTCTTTTGATTATTAAAACAGGTTAGAAAGGAGACTCTGTTGGAACCGTCAGACCTTAGGTTTTTCCAGAATCACTCATCCCAGATGGCAGCGTTAGATTATCTTGTATCGTTGGAGAGTGATATTTTTATACCTACCTATGATGGAAACATGGCAAAAGTTGTTGAAGGTCATCGCAGGTGAAGTTAAGCAGATATTTGGGTCTTATTTAGTCTTTTCTAGCTTCAGATAATGATCTTGGAACTGAATATTACCCAAAATTTTTAACACTCAAGTGTTCCATTACTAGAGTAGGGAAATTCATTTAAGTCCTCTAGAGCTCTTTTTACTAGCTTAGCAACTGTTTAATCTTTGCTTGTTCCTCTTATCTTAGACTCGACAATCTGATATATTATTTTCTATGGATTGATAGTCATATCAGGCAGGGAGGGATTCTAACTACTGTTTTTTGGAGTGATCTGTGACTGCTAGCATTATTTAGGGTGTTATATTGTCTGTCTTTTGTGGACTCAAAACAAGTTGTCAGAATTTTAACAATTACTGTGTTCAATGCTCAGATTTCTTGGGTTCAAGCAGACAATTCTATTGGACAGAAAGTTTCTTGTTTATCTGATAGACCAGTACACTAGTGGGTCTCAAAGTTGGAATGAGTTCTCATCTGCTGTGAAGGAACGTCATGCAAATCGCAAGGGACAACCAATGAAAAGATTAGTTATCCCAGACAGGCCTAAGGAGGAGGATTACTTCTATGCCAATCCAGAGGAGTGTTTGCAACAATCAGAAGATCTATTGAGTAGTACATGAACTTTTTTTGTTAAGATATTTGAAATTCATTGGTGTTACAGAGTGCTAGCTTTTCTATCACAGTTCAAAAGGTAATTCTCTAGTAAGGTCTAGCAGCAACGATTTTGTTTGAAAGAGCCCAGCTAAGGGAATTACTGGGATGCTAAACTCAAGCTAATGCCTGAGAGAATCTTCAGAAGCAACAGTGAGACAGGAAGATGTTTGTTGTCTGCAAAACAATCAAGATCATGTATAGAAACTGCTGCCCTGCCATTCCAGGGTAATACCAGTTCAATCTGGGTTTTATACAGAGGGATGCAAATATTTGGTTTACTGAGGCCTGAGGTTCATGAAGGAAGGTTAATTCCTTGCCCTTCTTTTTTGGTAATTTTTTGTTTATTTCAGATCACCTACGATCTTGTGACTTGTGAGTTTCTAGCATGCATCACATCTTGCCACGCTCAACGCCAAACACTATTTTATCTCTCTGGTGTGGCCAAAATGTTGCAGGAATAGGTCAAGCATTTATTTATACCTCTCACTACACTTTTGTTGTAAATTAATGGACAGTCCTTAATTTTCCTTTGGACCTTAAGGCTGAGTACTTTGTAGTTCTCCGTTATTTCCGTTGAGAAATTAATATTCAATCAATGAAACTGTTTTGCTTGTTCTGGTTGTTT